ACACCTGACTGTGAGAAAAGGGCTGATGTTGCATTTGCATGAAATGACCCATTAATATGTAAAGTTCACCTGTGGGTTTTTCACCTGTGGAAATGCTCTAAGTATAGCCAGCTCTGGTCCAGTTAATACAATCAGAAAAAAGTGGACTATTTTCACTTTTTGAATGTGATTTGAAATGTGAAGCAATGAGTGAAAACCACCTTAGCTTTAGTGAACCTTAGATAAGATCACACACTAAAGCAATTGATGAGCTATAGCTACATATATGATAGTGGCAGGCAGAGTGGAACAATCAGGTTTGGGTAACATTTAATTCTGTTGAAAGAGAAGGGAAAAACATATCTAGAGGTTATTAAACAATAAAACTGCTTCAGAAGACTTCACATTCTGCCTGTTCTGGTTGCTTAGTGAGTCAACATCCCACTCAGCCATGTAAAACTTGTTAGACCCACCTCTGATACATTCAGCACTGCTGCTTCGTGACCAGAAACCGCATTAGGCTATACAGTATGTGCTCAGAAGAACCAGATGGGGTGATCCCACCCTCCTGAGCCCCATGACCTAAGGGTATTTAAGAAAAGCATGAATAGCCCACATCATGCTACAGCCCTCGTTGGCACACCATGGGAGATGTCCACATTTTATGATAAGATACTGACCGTTTATGTAATCATCTAAGAGAAGCAGTAAAAACAGTACATACTAAAATAAAATGAAAAAAGCACGGAATACACACAGAGACATATATATATTACAAACTAGTGCATTACACTCAAATGAATTTTGCAACTTTTAAAAATAAAGTTGTTCTTTTTTTCATATATTCATCACATAAATCTCACATAAATCCTGCCTTCTGTCAGTCTGTCATTGTTTGTTTGTTGTTGTTGTTGTTGCTTTTGTTTACATTTCACTGAACACACAGATAGATAGATAGATAGATAGATAGATAGATAGATAGATAGATAGATAGATAGATAGATAGATAGATAGATAGATAGATAGATAG